GTGTGTGTGTGTTTGGGCTTTGTAGCTGCCCTTCGATTTGGCTGCCAGCGATTTATTTTATGCTCTTTCTTTCTTTGAAGATAGCTTTGAAGTTATTTCGTTTTATTCTCCTTTTTGCTCCAGAGAAATATGAGCTTTACTTAAGAGCACTTACTTATGAAGCGGCTAAGCCGCAGCCCAGAAGCCAAAGTGGACCATAATGTTGGCTTGCGGCCCACATGACTTTTTTCTCTGCGAACGAAGGCCTCGCCCCTGTTTCTATTCAAGCACTCAAATTGTCATCACCAGCAGCCGCAAGTTCATGCAAACTTGTTTTGCAATTAAATGCAGCAGGCAGCAGTCAGCAGCCAACCGGCAACAGGTAAAAACAGGTGGCAGAGCCAACAACCAAAAAAGCCTCAAGAAAATGTCAGCGCACGCACATAACGTGAAAAAGTCATTAAGTACGAACACGCCAGGCATGGCCGACACGAGCTGGCTCGAGCTGGCACTAGCTGGCAGGAGCTGTCAGTACCTGACGTAGTTTTGCAGTAATTGCACCACGTTTGAGCGCAGCTAACTGCATATTGAGCCACCGAGCAGCAGCGCCAGCCAAACTCCCCCCTCTACGGCAACTCTGAATGCCGTCGCAGCGTTTGGTTTGCATTATTTATGACAAAGTGAGCCCGATTAATCCGCACTCAATAGCAAGACACAAGGCACACCAAAGCGAGGCTCGGTTCGCTCAATGCGAACTAGTTCCGCAAAGCACACTACGATGTATATGCTCTTAAAGGCAGAGCCAGTGTAGAGTAGACTGGCTGATAGAGTAGTCTAAGCAAGGAATGAATTATCGATAAAAATGATGACCTTGTGCTGCTCTAGAAGAGTGTTACGTATTTCTTATGAGTAGATGAATATGCTTTTATATCAACTTTACCAAAACTAATATTCCCTAAAATGTTGGAGCAGAAAGAAAAGAAGGAAAATCTAAAAAGCTAAAGCTCTCTGGCCACATTACCAACTCATCTTTAACATATCATATTATTAGTAGTTCAGCAACACACCCTCTTCAACTAGACAATAAATTCCACATTTTCATTCTCTAAACGTAGCCGTAATACTCGTTACACTGGTTCATAGAGTATGTAACAACGTTTCATATTCCTATGATAGAGTATATAAGAGCAGCTCATATTCCTGCAGCTCGCAGCTTATAGCTCATTCTGCTTTCAAAGTGATTCCATTAACAGCTGCTTTTGTAGCCCTGAACCAAATTTTAAGCTGCCTGCCGTCGGTATAGGCACAAGACACACTCTCCCCGACTGAGTGTGTGTGTGTGTGTGTACTTTACTCTTATTTACTTCATGCAATTTAATATTGTACGAGCTCTGTGGCAAGCAGCGTCGCGTACAGCTCCCTTTATCGTTGTCGTCCTCGTCGGTGTGGTATATGCGTTCACTGAAGGCATAAATAATCTGTTGCTGTTGCAGCTGCATGCGTGTGTTGGTGTGTGTGTGTGTGTGTGTGTGTGTGTGGGCGTTGGCTATGTGTCCTTGTATGCCGCCATTTACTTGATGATAAACCATATATAATTAATTTAAATTTAAGCAACACACGAGCGATAATTTCTTAATGAAAATTTATTTTGACTGCCCCTTCGGCTCGGCTTAAGCTCTCCAGTCCACTCCGCCCCCAGCTCCAGCTGGTCTTTGGTCGAATCAATTAGGCACCTTTAATGTTAATCGCTTCATATATCACGACTTCAACAGCCCAGAAAGCAACAGGCCGACAAAGGGTCGTTGACAGCCCGCAAATGGAAATGGCAATGGAAATACGGAAGGGCACAGCAACCAAAACAGAAAAAAACCAACAACCAACAAACAAATAAAAGGCAAAGGAAAGGAAAAGTCGCACGCGACGATTTTCGCGCTAATAAAGGGCGCCACAGTGGAGCAAGCGGCGCTAAAGCCAGCCCAAAAACTGAGCTGCTGAAGTGTTGGAGTGCGATAAAAAGATTAAAGTGCACACATGCAGACGTGACAAGGGAGGAGTTGGAGTTGTTTGGAGCCGCAGCAAAGCAGCGATAACTCACACACACACACAGCCAGACAAGACAAGACACACACAGACATCCCACTTCAGCTGCCAATTGGTAATAGAAAATCGGATCAGATTAGATTTAATGCGGCGACTGCTAATTTTTGCCTGATTTTTCATTTGGTTTCGTTTCGGGTAGGGGGGGGCCCGCCTTGGTGCCAATGCCGGGATTGGTATCGGAATCGTCATCACAATCGCCATCCCAATCGCCACTGTCAGCGTCAGCATCAGCCTTCCAGCTCCCAACGAGCTGTCAGCGGCAATACGCCCGCAATGACAGCTAAACAAATGACAGAAATGCCAACGGAAGCGGCGTAGTGCCGGGAGGAGGAAGGGAGGTGGGAGAGTAAGGTAGAGCCGGGTGGCCAAAAAGGAATTGGGCTGCGAATTGAGATTGGGAATGGCACTGACAGCAGGCGCAGCTGAAGCTGCAGGCGCTCCAAAGGCACATACATATGCTAACAACTACACTGAAAGAAAAAGAGGGGTAGAAGATATTATAAAACAGAAGCTGAAAAAGAGGGAACGAAATGGCTAATTATTGAACTTTTATAATATTTAAATTATTTCTATTCTGATTTTATTTTTATTACTTCCCCACAGTCAAAAAAAAACTGTTCTTTCAGCTTCTCGCACTTTTTCTCTCAGTGTACACACGCATGTATCTATGAGTGGGAGCTCAGCGTCATCTACATTTCCGCTTCCGGCTATTTATGCTAAAAGTATGGCGGATACGTTGATGCCAGCCATAGCAAAGGCATTAACTGACAACAACAACAACAGCAGCAGCTGCCAGCGGCCAACCCCTCGCAGCTACACACGCAGTCACAGTCACAGTCACCGTCATCGTCACAGTCGCAGTCACAGTGATTGGCCAGCAAACGCCTTTGCATCCCGCAGCGCTGTCAGACGCCTTGGCAGACATATTCTCCCCACTCTCATTTCTATTTTCTTACTTTTTTTTTGCGTGACGCGCATTTATCTTGGCGCTGCTTTTGAGGTTAGGCATTTGGGCACTGACATGTTATCGATAACACTGATTAATCGCAGTTTTTCAGTGTTGCGAAATGTAGATGGTTTTCTGAAGCAGAGGTGGCGGAGGACTTAAAGAGAGAAATAGATATTTTTACCAAGGACTAAATAGTTAACTAAGTGAGGATAACCGAAACTTTTGGTAAATTATTTTGTTTAAGCTATGAACAGGTTCTTTAAGCTTCTATATATCTCTCAAACTGCTTTAGCTTAGTCTATTAACCATTGTATAATGTTTGATAAGTACTAAGAAGGGAGTATATACAACACTTCTCTTCTGTTTCTATGCAGAAATTACCTACAAAAAAAATAAATAAATAAACTAGACATATACGACATCTACTATATATTGATCATTTTATACTTTCTTAACCAATCTTGAACTTGAATATAAAATCTACATATAGCAACATTTTTCACATCTCCCATAAGAGTATTTAAGTTTCGACTACCCAACAACAGCAGCTTTTACTTATTTTCATCACAGAACCAACTCTCTCTCTCACACACACACACACCCACATGCATACATATCCTAATTATACCAGAGACGCCCCGTTACGCACGTCATGCTGCGTTCCCGGCCAACTTTCCATGGCCTTCATCTTAACTCACCTCGCACACCCCCTCGCTCATTCCCTCTCTCACTCTCTCTCTGTCTGTCTTTGCACTCTTCGCCTGGGTTTCATTTACATGATGATGACATATAACATAAATAATTACACACACGCACAAAGAAGCAGCAGCAGCTTGTTGTTGTTGTTGCTGTTTCGTTTGCGTCGCATATTTTTGATATTTAATTTTCATGTTTTTGTTATCAAGCTTCCCATCGGAGCGAAGCAGAGCAACCTCTAAGTCGACGATGTCGCAAGGAAGTGACAGAGACGTAGCGAGGAGAGGATGAGGCTGAGATTCTGTGTGAAAGCTTTGCTTTCCTTTTGAGTGGGTTTTATTATGCTTTTTCGGGAATCTTAACATATTTATGAATGCGGAATACGCTAGAAATTGCGGTAGTCCCAGTGACAGAGAGAGAGAGAGAGTGAGGGAGAGGGAGAGGGAGAGCACAGAGAAAGTATCCTCTGTCCATTTTCGGATGTTCACCTAATTGAAAACTATAATGTCAATGGTAATCACATCACATGGCCAGTCACAGGCATGCCAATAGCTTGTTCATGGAATCACAGCCAGAAATCTCGAATGTGCCACTGGACCCTACTATGTGCATAATTCAATGCACAGATTGAAAATACCAAAGGAGACAGAGAGAATGAGAGAGAGAGGGAGGGAGGGAGAGGGAGAGTAATTCGGACAGAGCAGCAACATTGGCGCCTTACATAAAAATTGCTTTGGTAACACAGGCAAGCAAGCAAAGGAGGAGCAAGTGAAAGGCTGTAGCAGCTGTAGCTGGAGTCGCGGCATATATGAGCCGTTAGAGAACCTTTCATCCTTTTCAATGTGCCATTGCTTTTTCCCAGTTGATCCTAATGTGCTGCTGTCAGAGCCTGTCGACGTCAGGCGGTCTTTTTAAGCGGCTATTTCGGGGATTAATGTCAATGTGAAAGGATTTCTGTATTCAATTTTTTTTCTCTCTCTCTCTCACACACTCTATGCTTTTTCCCATTCTCCTCTCTTTTGCAAATGGTTAGCCAAAGGGTATATTGCAGTTGGCCAAATGAATGCGAATGAAGCGGCAGAAGAGGCAGAAGAGGCAGACAAAGATTCCATTGGGTTCAATTACCAAGAGATGAGTGCACTCCGTTTGCTTTAACCGACTCTTTAAAGCTAACAGCCTATACTAGAGGACAATAAGTAGTAGTAGGCATATATAACTAACTCTGCGTGAGTCAAGTCAATTTAAACATTATCCATTCATTAATACACAATTTCCCACACTCTCAGTACACTGAGAGAAATACGAAAGGCAAAATTATATAATCGCTTATTGAAATCGGGCAAAACGAGGCGAACACCAAGCTGCAGCCATGAAGAAGGACGAGCCCATCATGGATGGGCCGAAGCGCATGCAGAACGAGCTGATGATGATGATGAGCTATAAGAATCTCGAGCAGCTAAAACTGCTAGAGCCTGAGAAAGATAATATATACAAGTGGAATGCGCTGCTGTTGCCCAGCAGTCCGCCCTATAACAAGGGCGCCTTTAATCTGGAAATCGATTTTCCCAAAGAATATCCCTTTCGGCCACCAACCCTGCACATCAATACGAAGATCTATCATCCGAATATCAATGAACGGGGACAAATTTGTTTGCCCATACTCGAGGCGGAGCACTGGAAGCCCACATCGCGCATCGATACGGTGCTGCAGGTGCTCATTGCGACAATTAATGATCCACAGCCAGAGAATCCGTATATCATTGAGATCAGTAATCAGTTTGTTAACGATCCCAAGAAGTTCTATAGAATGGCCGATGCGTGGGTGACGCGCTACAGCGAATATCGGCCAACGGATGCGGAGCTGGCCAAGATTGCAAAGCGTCGCAAGAAGGCACTCATGAATAAATGAAAGTAAGCTCAATAAATTTTTGCACATTTCGCTCAGTGTATCAGCATACCAATTGGCATTTCACTTCTGGCTAATTGGCGCGCACCAAAATAAGCGAATGAACCGAGTCCCAGTCCCTCTGCTTCCTCTGTAAGATAAATCATTCGACTTGGAAAAACGTTTTCGCTGGCGTCCTGCCGTGCTCAGCATGCGGATGGATTAGCTCCATCGTCATTGTCATTGTCATCATCAGCAGCAGCAGGAGCGGGAGCAGCAGCAGCAGGAGCAGGAGTAGCAGCAATCGCAGCAGCTTTCGCCTCGGCGGCAGCAGAAGGCCGCTGTAGTTAGTTTTAGTTGTTTTGATACCCTAAAGACATTGAAAAGGTTTCAAGAAGGGTCGTTTAGACCCCACAGAGGCGGCTTGTAGTACCTGAGGTACTTTTACTATCGGAAACTGAGCTTAGTTCTTTAAAGCATAGAGAAAGCTCTAAACAAATTTCCCACATTTTTTCCTCACAATTGCTCACTTTATCTACAGGGTAGCCGCATTCGTTCATTCAGCTGCTTTGTAACTTTGTTTTATAGTTTTGCGCTTAGATGGCGCCTTAGCAGGGCTAGCCGGCATGGCGTTGCTGGCCTAGCTCGTCCTGGCCTGCCCTGGCTGGCAGTAGATGCACGCGTCATGACCATATAAATTTCTCTGCCATGAATGAATCAACTTTACGAACTTGGACACATGCGGATCCGCTTTTATGGCCCACCCACTGGTCGAATCTCTGTTGTGGCACTGCGTGCGTTTTATGGTGGTTTACTAATATGTGTCTGCGTGTGTGTGTGTGAGGCAAGTTGTGTTGTCTGTAAGCGAGAGATGAGTGAGACACTGGCCCAACTTGAGCTTGTCAACGACATGTCCTGTGGATGCCACCATAATTACACTAAAGGCCACACACACACACATACATACATATACTCACACACACACACACACACACATGCATACATTTCACATTCAGTGCCAAAGATATTTGTATCTAGTTTCATTTTTTGTTTGTGGCGGGTGGGGGGCTTTAGTGCTTAGCTGCCACGCCCTCACCCCAACCGGCTGTGGGCACTGAGCAACCATTGTCAAGGCAAAAGATGGATTACTATGCTGACCACCCAGCAAGCGTATAAAGCTTTGGTTGGGGCGTTTCTCTTGTTAAAACGGCCTGTCTGATTATTATCACCTTTTGGCAACAAGAGTAGATGCGTTTGCAGCCGGACATTGACACCGAGAGCCACGCCCATCAGAAGAGGCTGTCGCTAACAGGCAGACAGGCATTCAGAGAGAGAGGGAGAGAGAGAGGCAGGGAGGGCGACAAACTGCTTCCATTCAAATGAATCGCAGTTTTTGATTAGCAGCAACTACAGCTACGAGTAGAAGTTGGAGTTTTTTTTTTTTTATTTCAACTAGTTTCGACTGCCTGAATAGAGAGCGAGAGAGGGAGAGGGAGAGCAAGCGAGAGGGCGAGCGAGAATTCTGTGGATGCTGCGGTGCTGTTGTCCTGTGGTCGTTGCCTTGGCTACTCTCGCTGTGGCCTGTTTTTGGGGCATAACTCATTAGCGCCTAATTACAGTTGGCGGCTGTTTTAAATTAGTTTCACGCAGTTCGTCGAAAAATCTTTTCGCATTTTCACTGATTAGATTTTGCCAGACTCACGTTTTGCAAGCCCGATTTAAAGTACATTTTCCCAAAATCTTAAATAGTATTTTTTATATATAAATATTTAATATTATATTACATTTTGAATCGGCAATTCAATAATAATATTTATACTAGTAAGCTGGTTGAATGCTGCTTGAATGAAAGTTAAGTTCCCTGACAAAAGGATAACTGTTCCTTACATATATTTTGATATATAAGTAAACTTATTGATGCATTGAATAATATAACTATTGAGGCGCATCAGTTGATAAATGTTGAATATTTAGTATATTATATAGTATAAAAATTTAAAATAACAATATATTTTTAGCTATTTGCATTCACTAAAAATTATATACCACTTTCCTCTTCAATAATATTATTAAATTAAAATATGTAAGCATTCGAAATCTCTTCAACTTCCGCACTTCTCAGTCCAGCATTAGTGGCACTCTAGCGATAAATTAATTTGAAATTGCGCATAACTTGGAGCTCATCTATAGTTGCTTATGGTCAAGTGCAGTGTCCACTCTCTCCAATAAACTCTAGGTGCGATGGCCCCAACACATTATAATCCCGCAATTAGTCTTGAAATTTGCCTTCAGTCACGCTCGATGCACTTGCCCATAATCCCTTAATACTCTGCTCAAAATTCGAATGCCAGATTTTTAGCACATTAAGCCACAATATCGATTTTCACTTATGCATTATATATGTATGTATATTTTGTGAGCTGCGAACAATTTACGACCTACATTAAACATGCAGCTCATAGGCTGCATAATTTATACATACTTATTCATACTCGATATGTACTTACGTATGTATGTATGTGCATATATAAGGAGGCGTATAAATTGTACATTTATATCAAATTTGGGTTGCTGGCAAGTAAATAAAATAAGCTTGGCCAACAGAGATAGCTCACGCGATAAAATGAGAAATTGTGGTGAAATTTGTTGCCATTGCTGCTGTTGTTGTTGTTATTGTAGCAAGCCAATAAAATCAATTAAAAGGCACTCAACATGCAAACAATTATATGCAAATTCACACACACACACAGACACACAGACAGTCAGACACACACACACACTCACACACATACACATGCGCTCAAGTCAAAGTCAAAGCGTGCAGAAAACGATTTTGTGCTGTTATTTGCATAAAAGGAATACAAGAAAGAAAAAAAATCAACAAAAATAAACAAGCAAAAACTGCAAATAAATATATAAATACACAAGAAGTGGGCGAGCGGCGGTTGTGTGGGTGAGGCGTGAGGGGTGACCCAAAAGAAGCCACCCAAAGTCCTGCCAGAAAGGCCAATGAAAAGCCATAGACGACGAATGTGCGTCAAAGGCAACGGAACGGTGCTGTTGAGCGGCGGGGGGGAAACAATGGAACTGAACCTGTTGCGCGCGAAACAAACAACAACAATGCGAACACACAACAACAATGCGGCAGACATACAAAGTTTCAGCAACTGCTTTAAAGCATCAGACGGACCCAGAATGGCAACGGAATGAAACGAAACGAAAAAGTTCTCTCACAACTTGACACATTCAATGCAAGCCGGTGCAGCAGTTGCAGATGATTTGATTGAAAGCAACGTTCAACAATTGAATGAAAGAGCGCAGCGCCGAAGAGCAAATGAACGCGGCTGGCGCAGGCGCACGGACCAACAGGAAAACGAAACACTGCACAGCGGGAATGTGGAAAGTGGAATAAGGCAACCGAAACCGAAACCGAAATGTAAGAGCAGGCGACAGTGTGAATTGAAACGTATCTTTCTAGCTCAATTGTGCAGCGGGGGTGGGTGGGCAGCGCTAAGGCGCTCTCTATGCCCGCTGCCCGTCGCAGTCGTACTCTTAATTTCACTGTTGCTGCCTGCTGCATCTTCGTGCGTTCGTGTGCCGCTCGGCTCGTACGCCACGAACGGCAGGCAAATACTTGGACACTGGCTGACAATCAGTTCGTATTTAACCCTCGTCGTGCACGCAACGTGGGCGAACAGCAGCAGCAGCAGCAGCGGCAGCAGCAATAGCAGTTGCGTTATTTCCAATTTTGGAGCCTTGGCGAAACGAATGAGACGCGAATGAGAAGCGCTATCATTAGTCTTCGTTAGGCGGTCTTTGTGTCAACAACGTGTTGCTCCACATTTTGTAGCCCACCCAGTGTGCGTTAGTGTTGTGGCCGTGCGTGCGCGTTTACAAAATAACGGTACTCTGCTCATTTATCACGGCGAAAACCAGAAACAAAGTGTTGCATACTCTAAAGAGCTTGCGACTTAAGTCGTTTGTGCCACACTGTGCAACAAGTTTGTTCAACTTTAAAGTGTTTGTGCCAAATACAAGTGCAAGTGCAAATAAACACAATACTTTATATATTAAATATAAAATAATATATATACTATATATTTACACTCATATACACTCGCCTACAAAGAGAATAACGGCAAGTAAGTGCAAGTTAAATATAATTTTGCTGCAGCCTACTTTCTGACGCATTTTATGGGTCAATGGATGAGCAAATAATATGAAAAAGACGAACTTTATATAGCTCTCTATGGAACGCGCTAGTCTCTCAGCTACATCAAAGTAAACAAGTCGAAATTCTTGCTAAATGGCTGTCGGCTATGCGCGCGCTCATTGTGTTTGTCAAAGTTCTTTGCAAATTAACTTTGACTCAATTTAATTTGACAATTCATGAAATAGAAATCCTAATAAAAACGGAAATAGAACCTAAATGTAATTTAATGTGAATGTTTCTACAGTCTCTGCCCCTGCCTCTGCCTCTGCCACTGACAAATTACACTTAAATTCCGCATTAAGCTTTCGCTTCTAATAGACTGCGTGTGCGAAATGTGTGCTGCAAGCCAAAAACTAAATCACTGTCAATGCGGTTCCAGATTCAAAAGCCACACACAGACGTGGCCAGAGAGCGTGGCTTTCGAATCACTGCGTTCGCATTGGTGGACTCGTAACTCTCGCTCTGCTTCTTCTCGCCAGAGCTGGAACTATTGTTAGGCAATGATTTGCAATTTGTTTGAAAAATGCATTTACAACCGCAAAGACAAACAGCAGAGCAGACCAGACCAAACTGTTTGCCTCGCAACAACTCAGCACACACATAGGGGGAGGGAGGGGTGGAGGGACAAATTCAGTGCTTAGCCGTTTGCAAATAAAAAGCATAAGCAGCAGCTACAACAGCCGCAGCAGCAGCAGCGGCAGAGGCAGCGGCAGCGGCAGCGGCAGCGGCAGAAATACAGTGGCAACTTTATTAAGGAACAGCTTAATGTCAAATTGTCAGATGTAGCTTAGCTTTGTTTTTGGAGAGTGCTGTGATATATTTATTGTGCTCTAAATTATA